CTGCGGCAGAGACACCTCTGCCATCACGGGGGGGCTGGCATTAAAGAGGACATCTGCGCTGGTTGCATCAGCCTCTCCTCGGAGGCTCGAACGGCGCTGCCGAGCGTGACTGCACGGCTTTTGTGTACTTAGAATGAACCCGTCCTAGCTCAGTCGGTCGGTCGCGTACGAATTCGTAATTAGTAAATACAGAAACATACAGTACTGCCCACAGCTGTGGGGTTTGGAAAGCAGGCAAGGCGAGTGCACTTATACGTGTTCAGAGTTGTAAATTCCTTTTTAAATACGTTTAATCCCCTGGGGCAGCAGGCATGCCTTCTCTTTCTTCCGGGTTTCTTTTTTTTTCCCTTCTCACAGTCTGGAAAATTTCCATCTGCCAAGAAGCAGGCAGGCTGTAAAAGGGGCACCGTGCATGTTGAACCACAGTTTAATCGCTCACCTCACTGGGTTTAAACATTGTATTTCCTTGTCTGTCTGCAGGAGCGATTTAAGTTAAATCTGTACAGATAACAGGATCAGATGGAGCACCTCAGAAGAGATTTCCATCTACAGCTGTCTGTCTCACACTTTGATTTAACACCAGTGCCCCCCTTTCCAGTACCTCAGTCTTGTTTTGCCCGGATAGGCTTGCCCTGTGTTTCCAAACATATTGGTTAGGAAAGCACACGCTGTTATATGTCCAACTGAAAGCATAACTATTTACTTCATAGAAACTAAAGATGAGGTTCCTACTCCTGACTTGCAGAGACACTTGAAAAGCCAAACTGTCAGCAGTATTTATACTTGCCTGGAAAAAAAGGCCTTTTGAGAGCTGAATTTGATGGGGAACAAACGTATTCATTAGCTTGGGATTTTGGATCAATCCTCTGATTCATGCTGTGGATACTGGGAAGCCTGGACACAGCTAACATTTCACGTTCTCCTTTCAAGCTGACAGAAGTGAAACCAAGTATGGGTTTTGTTAATTGGCAGGCTTTCAGTTTGGTCGTGCGGTGTTTCACAGAAGGAAGTTAACATACCGTTGTTATGAGTCAAGGGTAACAGAAAAAAAGCAACCCAAGAAAGTAAATTGTTTTTTAAATACCTGTAAGTATACTGAAATAAGGATGTGATGTTGTCATCACCCTGCAATAAAATGGAAAATCTTAAAATGCCAAGTGGTCAGTTCCACTCACCTGGTGGCCTAGCCCACATTCATCTGGTGCAACAACAGTGATTCCCAGCATGTTCGGCCTTTTATCAAGTTGACAGTTACTCTCTAAGTGCTAAGTAAAGAAACGTTTCTTCATCTAAGAATTGCATGAAAGGTAAACCAAGAGCATCTAAAGCACAATGCTTTGAGCTGTGAATGACAAGTTTAGTGGGGGCCTCCAGAAAGCTCATGTCAGAGCCATTTTCTACTAAAGCAACAACTTATTAAGTTACCTTTGACTGTGTGGTTCTGCAAGCACTTGGATTTTGTCTAGTAATTTAAAAACGTAGTTTTAACAAATATTTCAGACCTACAGATGCAATTGTGATTGGCATGGGGAAAGTACAACGGCAAGGCACTCCAACCCAGAATTACAGCGTCTCTGGGGTACATGTGTTGCTCTTTGCCGCTCGATTATGTCAGACCACCCTGCCATCTCTTTTTTTTTTTTTTTTTTGGCATTCACCGAGAGCCTGCATATTTTTAATTCCTTTATTATGGCATATAATACCTTTCACTCATAATTTTGCTCTCAGCAAACTTCAAGCAATTAAGTTAGAAATCCCTCACTTAAAATTTAGTGCGGTCATCTGTGTGATCTGATGGTCCAGTTCAAATTACTCTGGTGCAACAACATGGACCTACTACAAACTGCATCCCAGCCTGTTGGACTTTCATCAGGTTGGGTGTTACTCTACAAAGGGTTAAATAAGCCAATCTTTCTGCATTTTTCAGCATGCTAGATGAATCACCGTTAGTGAATTTTTAGCTGTGCTGAGCCAAGTGATATGCTTAATTTATCTGAGCTGGAAAAGAGATCTGAGAAGCCAGTAGAAGATCTTGCTTGCCTGTGTTAGCCAAGGGAGCCCATTTCAGGGTTATGTGGCAGAGAAAACAGCAAAGAGCTGCACAGGGTTTTTTGGGGGGGAAGTTTTTGTGTGCAATTGTGTATGCCCATGGATACACTCTTAGTGGTTGTTCTTAGATAGCCTGGGAAAATCACAATTCACTTCACAGGTCTGTGTTGAAAAGTATTGTTCAAGTCCTCAATAAATGTGACAGAACAGAGTATCATTTGCAGATGAGAAAACTCTTTAAAATCTAAGCAAATGTATTTCTCCCGCCTTCCCCCCCAGGAGCCACAGTGTGGATATTTCAGCAACTGTTTGAAAAGCATGCATGATAAGCTCATTTTCACAACCTTATCTCATATTTTCACATATTTATATTTTAGCTGACATGGAGCAAAGTCATTGTCACTCTCATTGGCTCCATCACAACCTCTTCAACCTTTGAAAATTCAGGATATCATTATGCAAGTGGCCAGCAGAAATGCCTTACCCTGATCTATCTGCAGTACTCGCCATTAGATGTGGCCTGGTCTGTGTAGGATTGTTTCTCAGTGAGTCATGCAGATCCCTCTGTAGTTTCTTCTAGGAAGTGCTGTGCTATGCATGATTAGCGGGCTCCGAGGGTGACATTGTTTCCTGAATGATGTAACTGAAAATTCCCCTTCCTGTGCTTCTTGTTTCCTGATCAGTTTTCTCTTTGTTTTCAAAGACATTCCAGCAGCTGCGTATCTTTTGTTCCTGATCTTTTATTCCTACAAATCTCTGTGGAGACAAGTTATGTCAACAGCTACTTTAATTAATTTGGTACGAAACGGAGGGTATCAAGTAAGAAGGAGAGCCGTGCTGACGTCCCGCCTCTTGCAAGACGAGAAGCGTCCGACAGCCGTGTGCTACAGCTCCACCTCCGAGCGCCGTGCTTCCCGCTTCGATTCAGACGGGAGTGGGCGACCTACCACATGGGACACCTTTGGCATCTGGGACAATCGCATTGACGAACCTATTCTCCTCCCACCAAGCATAAAGTATGGAAAGCCAATTCCAAAAGTCAGCCTGGCCAACGTGGGCTGTGCTAGCCATATTGGGAAGCGTAAGGAAAATGAAGACCGGTTTGATTATGCTCAGCTGACGGAGGATGTCCTATACTTTGCAGTATATGATGGACACGGTGGGGCGGCAGCAGCAGACTTCTGTGATAAGTACATGGAAAAATATATTAAGTAAGTGCGCATCAAGTGAATGTGTCTCAAATTACAGTAGAGATTCCCTCCTTAGGACTGAAAGGGAACCAGTGGGTCATATGTTGTTGCCAATCCTCCTAGGTTATATAGCCACCTAGCCCAACGGGACAGCCGGAACACTGGGCTGGAGCAGTCTGTTACATTGGACATGCTATGAACTACTTATTCTGTATTGTGCCTTCCCCATTGAGCAAGCCTGCAAAGACAAGAGAGGAAAATACGATTGTACCCACCTTCCAGGAGAGGACTGGGAACACAGGGAGAGTGTGAATCGACTGTTTTCAGATGGGGTCACTGGGATCGCTGACCTATGGCTTGCTTACACTTTTCTGTATCTCTGTGTCGTATCCCTGGGTGTTGGAAGAGGAGTTTTATCTATTTGCACAATTACAGGATTATGCTTCCAGTGCAGGTCATTAGTAAAATCATATTACCTGTTCACTGAAATCCAGCATTATTCAATGCATGCAGGGAGGAGATAGGGCCATAGAAGAGATTGACCAAGATGTATATTTCTTGGAAAGAAGTTTAATTTTTTGTTTGCTTGTTTGCTTCCAGAGAATTTCTTGCTGAGGAGGAGAACTTGGAAAATGTTTTGAACAAAGCTTTTCTAGAAATAAACAAAGCCTACGAAAGGCACGCTCATCTGTCTGCTGATGGTAGGTAAAAAAATATTCTACTCGTATGGGTGTGGAGAATAAGGTTTTTCTTATTTGCTCACTAGTTTTGTAGTAAAATGTCCAGAAAAATCCTTGAAAAAAGTTTTACTTAACATAGAATTTTGCTCTGATCACTTACTGCAAATGAAACAATTATGCTTTACCTCCTTAAAATGCAAAAGCTGTTAAAAAGTCTAAATCAAATTTCCTGGGGGAGTTTTAATCTGAATGTTAGCATAATCATAAATGAATTTCTCTTAATGTGATTCTGTCAAGGAAAGTGTTCGTCGAGTTAGCGAAGAATGATTTAGATTTGCAAGGAGCATAACTTTACTGTGCAAGAAAAGCTGGAGGGGGGTTTTGGTTTGGTTTTTTTGGTTGGGGTTTTTGGTGTTTGGGTTTTGTTTGTTTGTTTTTTCGTTTTGTTTTGTTTTGTTTTTAAAGCTGTTATTCCTGTGGGTTAAAAGTGACAGTATCAAAAGTTCCCCTTTCTAACTTGGCTGCTGCACCTGAGGAGAAACGTAAGCCAAAATTAATACCATTGATATTGCTTCTGCACAAACAGAATCACAGGAGTAGCTGAGTGTGAAAGGGAAAAAAGCAGTGAAGAGGAGAACGAGGTTGGCTGTGGTAAGGCTGTGGTAAAGCTGGCACCAGCCCTTTTAGACTCCTTAGTCCTGGCTGTTAATCAAGTTCTTGTACATATGTCTAGAGACTAGGTATTTCTGAAGGTCCTGTTCTAGCAACTGAAGCTTATAGAGAGTAACTTGGGAAGGGAGCTAGAGGTCCCTGCCCCAGGAGTTTCCTCAACCATGAGATACAATTTTAAGAGTCACTTTAGCCAGTCTTAAAAAAAAAAAAACCAAACAAAAAACCCCCCAAAACGAACACAATCAAAACCCCCCCAAACCCACAACAAAAAAACCAAACAAAAAACCTGTCCCATTGCTGGTGCAGGAACTGGCAAAATGACTGCGGTCGTTTCAGAAGAACAGAAACTGTGAAAGTTTTCTCTCCAAGAAAGACTTGAATCCAACAAGCCCTTTAGGGACTGAAGTGATACTGCATTCTCAAGCTACTTTTCTTAAGCAATGAATGAATACAATCAAGTAACGGACTGGCTTTCTCCACTTTAACTACTAAATGGATCTAGGTAGACTCAAATATTTCCTGGCAGGACAGGTAGCCTGACTGTTACAGCACTGTGAGGGATACACACCTTTCCTCTTACCTGGTACAAGCTAAGGTATCAGGGGTATCAGGAAAAAAAGTCTTAAGTCCTGAAATGCAGCCATTAAAAAGGGGGGATTCAATCTATAAATCTTATTTCCCCATTATATCCCATTTTACTTTTTTTTTATATTGAAAACCTTTAAAAAATAACAACGTGGTAAAAAAAGTCCAGAGTCACTTTTGACCTACAGGGTGAGTTTTAACTGAGCTTATGAGAGACACATCAGTAAAGCAGATGTGCTTTTTATCCAAGATCCTCCTTACAAATGTGTTTTCTTAAAAGCCCAAATTCAAGAAAGTGTCTGAATACAGGCTTATGTGCTTCCCTGGATCAGGACCTTTCATTTTCACTAACATGAAGATCTGTTATATTTGTCCCCCTCCCCGCCCCTTTGTTAGTGGGACAGCTCTTGGCTTGGCTTATTGAAGTGACCTCTGTTGAGTGTCAGAGCAGCTCCTTGACGAGAAGGACTGGGAATTGTACTTGGTATTATTCTGTTATTCTGAAAACGGTTTCTGATTATAGCATTTCGTACGTGAGACTTATGGAACCGGATAGCAACAATATTTGACATAAAACTTGTGCAGCAAGCTGAGCATTTTGGAACTGCTTATAGGATTTTTTTCATATCATTTAACTAACTGGTACTGCTTAATGAAATCTAATGCAAATGCCAGCAAATTTACGTAACAGTTACCAAGATACTGGACAAACCCTCTTCATTAAAAAAGCTTGAGGTCAAGCAAAATAGAGGGCAAAAGTGTTGTCAAACATTGACAGGGGCCACGCTCTGGCACGGGCTCAGTGTTTCTCAGGTAGGCTGAGCACCTGCAAGCTCTTGCAGGAGCCAGTGGGATCTAAAAGTGCCCAGTGCTTGTGACTGGTTGCCCAGCTGAGAATCAAGCTATAAGGCAAAGGGTGGAGTAACAGGATGCAAAGACAAGTGTGGATTTCTGAACAAATTAAACTTTTTGCATATCTGTTGTTAAAATAATTCAATGCTATGTTGACTGCTTGGTGTGGATATTTTTGTTGTTGCTGTTGTTTTGAAAGTTATATAAAATTTCAATGCTTGGCATGTGTTCTTGTTAGAAGCCTACTTCCAAACTGATTCAGTTTGCCAGCAAAATGTCTGATTAACTGTGGCTATTCTGGATGTGACAGTCAAGACCGTTACTAAAGTATCTTGAAAATGGTGGCTGGTTGTGTAACACAGGGTATCTGGGATACGCTGGATGCTCCCCAAGACTGACTTCCTTTTGAAATCTGGCCATAGTTGACAAAGTGGAGAATAACAACTTAGTCTTTTTCCAGTAGATGACCCTGTCAGGGTTCACTCTTTTCACTGTATCTGAAAAAAAAACAGTGCATGTTCAAGATGTCCAGGTCTATACTAACACACGACCATCTTTGAAAGTGTGTGCCTGGGTGTTTGAAGGAACGTAAGTCCTGGGACAAATCCCTGTAGCCAAAATTGCATGGATTTTGTTTGACACATTGTTGATAGTGCTATTTAAGAGGTAAAAACCTCATATAATGGCACAAATTTAACAGGACTAGAGATGTGCCTCGTTGGAGCACCTAGCTATGTCTTCAAGGGCATGGCCCTTTGTAGGTCATTTTACAATTACAGGATATTTGAAATTATAGATGGAAAATACATAGCATAATAGTTTCTGTGAGCTTTCAATAAAAAAAAAAGTGTATGTATGTGTTCCAGGTACTGCTACTGTATCTGGCGTACAGCTCACTAGTGCTGTTGGAGTGCTGTAGTGGCCCGCTTGAGACTGGTCCAGTATCCCCTCTGACAGTGATCTGTACCTGTTGTTTCACACAAAAGCATAAGAAACTTGCTGTAGGCAGATCTGGGATAATCTGTCCTCCACCTAAATCCTTTCTAATCACTAACAGCTTAGAGATATGCCTGAGCCCTGAAGCATGGTGTTTGATAGCTCTTCAAAAATGCATTTTCATTCACTTCCACGCATTTAAATATATCCAGTCACTTTTAAATCACTGCTAAACTTAGGTATAAGACACAGTAAAGGAAGCTCACGTTCAACAAATATGTCATTATCCACAGGACAACTGTTAACACAGAATTTTCTGGTATTTTTTTTATCAGCCATAAAAACTGCAATGTAAAGGCTGAATAGCTTTGCCTAGCTAGGACAGAAATAAGGAATTGAATCATGTGCTTGAGGAAATTTGAGCATCTCTCTGGGGAAATGTAAGACAAACCTTCTCCTGGCCTAGTGCGGTCCTACAAGGTACTGCTACTGCTTCTGTTCACTGCGAGCCACTACTCGGAGAAAAGAACAGGGAGTCTTCCCATCGACCTCCGTGTTCAGTGCATCCAACTCTAATCACATTGGCCGCTCACTTCTGGAATAGCCATGTTATTAAAACATAGCCAGGTATTAACTGATGCATCTATGTTTGAAAGGCACTCCTGGAATCTTATTATGCTGAGCAAACAGCAAAAGTTATTTAAAAATAACTAAATTTAAAAAGTAGTGGGTTTTGGTTTTGTTTTTTTAAGTTACCATTCAAACATATGATTTTTATTTCTTTGAATATGTTAACCTGCAACACTGAGGAAAAGGGAGAGCTGCAGAAATTGTACTTAAATATTTCATAAATCCATTAATTTTACAAAGGCAGCTTTTTTATCCAAGGCCCCTGATTATTACCTAATCAAGTTAGAAGATACTAGTTACAATTTAAAGGAGTATTTTGCATATTTTTCCATGGGTCAGAACGATTCATAAGCTTACATTCAGTGCCTTTAAGATGGCCCTATTTTAGTTGGCATCAGTTTGAACTCCCCATTTTTTTGTTGTATATAAATATGCATATAAAAATAGATAAATTGCCTTGAGGAAAAAGATTGGGCCATATTCTGTACTGAAGATGTTCTTCAGAGTGGCCACTCTTGCCATGTATGAGACAGCTGACACTCTAGCATTGATACAATTCTTTGGTTGATTTGCTGGTTGGTTACTTACCTCCACAGGAAAAAAAAAAAAAAAAAGTGGCTTTTATTTTGGCGGAATTGAAACTGGTTTTGTCACACAGTTTTAGCAAGAAGGCGAGAACGGTGGCAATTCCCCAGAAATACCAAAGCTGATCTATCATTGGCCAAAGATGCATGTGTAAGCCTGAAGTACTTCCTATATGACCTGCAAAAGACAGTGCAGGCAAACCCAAAAGTGACTACTTCCCCTGTTCTGCAGCCCTTGTTCTTTCATCTCCAGTGTTGCAGGTTTATTTTGTTTGAACAAAGTCCCTGGGTGAATTTCCTATTTGCCTCTGTGTGCGTGTTATTTGTGGCAGACACTGTACCTGGTCAGCAGCTCTAGAACTGGAGGCCCTGGACACTATATGCTGGGCTTCAGTGGAAAGAGAGATCTGCTTAATTTTGTCCCAGGTGAAGGAGTCCGGCGGTTCCTAGCCTGGACTACTGGAAGGTTCCCACATCCTCTTTGTCACATTAGTTGAGATGACTTGCAGTAAAAGTTGTCCAGTGAGTGTTAAGAACCTATTGAAAGATCTTAGTTTTATAGTGATATTGCTAGGAAAACAAAATAAACTCTTTAATTGTTAAAACCAATATATATGCTGATGCAATGTATTTTGATATTATTAAATAACCTAGCAGCAGTTGTTGTAAAGCATTAGAAATGTTATCCCATCATCATTCCTGTGTTTTTGAGCTGTGCTAGAAATCACATAATGCATGCAGTCTAGCTGCATCCATGTTCTTGCACCCCTACCCAGATCATGAACTGGTTCCAAGGAAGAGAGCGTGAGCAGCATTTATTTTTCTAGGAGTGCTATTTAACTAATAAAGGTATATAAAGCTCAAGTCACTATGACCATTACCATAATTCTGGACAATATCTTGACTTGTTCTTTAGTACTATCCCTGAATTTTGTGATAGCGGCTCTTTTAGCTTTGAGAGTCTGCACTTGAAAGATGCAGATTCACTCAAATGTCCAAATGTTTCCAGTCACTTATGAATTAAAGACTACGGATCTTAACTTTTTCAGAAACTGCTTATGTTTGTCAGCATAGTTCCAAAACCAAGGAATGAAATGGGAGAGTAGTGGCAGTTCTGCATTAATTTTAACGTCTAAATAAAATGTGTTTTCTGTGGAAAAAAAAAAAAGGTAGTTTTACTTAGGTTCTTCATTTAACTTCTTTTAACTGTTAGCTAAAACAGGTATTTTACTGGTTCTACTAAAATTTCTAATCACACTGGTACTTGTTAGCATCTTACTTTCATAATGTGCCTCAAAGTGAGCCTGCACTGCGCTAGTCCTTGCTCCAAATTAGAAACAGGATGTCAGTGCTTACCTCAACAGTCAGAAGCTACTGGCATCTAAGTAGTTTTGAATATCGTAGCCTGCATGGCAGCCATAATGTAGTCCAAGATTTGACCTAGGTTACCATGGTTACGTTCACGATTGATGTGTTGTTTAAGTGTATAGCTGAACCAAGTCCTCACTGCAGTAATAATACCTGTTTTAAATAATAACACAAGCTTAGTTTAGACTGTTTTGTGAGGTTTTTTTGGATTCATCAACTCACCGCTTTCACTGCACAACAAGGCTCAATGCATCTCTCAGGGCTTTGCGCACTTCAATTTACTCCTAACCCTGTTTTACCTACAGGGTGCCGAGACCTCACAGGGTTGGCGAACGAGGTCACCAAGATCCCAGAGCACTCGCGTTTCTGTTTCCGTAGTACGCAGGGGGTCGTGCTGCGTGTATGCAGTTTGCTGGCAGCTGGTCAGAGATGGGGCTGGCTGGCATTCCTCCGGCTCAAACGCACAGCCCTGTCTGAGCTCCATCCCACCTCCCGGGGTCAGGGCTGCAGGGCCAGAGGTAGTAGGCATGTAGTTGTAGCTGAGCTCTGCGGGAGCGGTGGTGGAAAGATCTTTAACTGTTAGTCATGTGAAAACAGGAATATAACAGGGGATTCTCATTCCTCAGTTAGCCCCAAGCCACTCTCGAACTGGCTTGCTTTTAAAACCCGGAAAAACTGGAAAATTCCAGAATGCAGGAGACCTACAGAGGGCCTTTCAAGGGGATTTGCACTGGCTGTGAATGCAAATGTGTTCTAGGCCAATAGCTTGTCCTGGCCAGACATTTTACTGTAATAGCTCAAGTCGGCAAGAGTTACTGCTTTCCAGGCACCTCTCACTGGGTTACCTTTGCATAATTTGCAGGAAGGGAAGATGCTAACTGTAAAATGGGACTGCTGCTTTCAACAAGCAAACAAAAGGGAAAGCTGTACAGTTATTCTGGCATTTCCTTCACCGCAGATCTTTTCTGAAATAGTCAAGACTCGCATTTCTCCTTTTCAGGCACTTTTTTTTTGTTCCCAGAGTGTTGTAGAAATTGAAAGGAGAAGCCCTTAAATTTACTTGCACCAGTTAATCCAGCCAGGTGCCTGAACACAGCCAGTCAGCTCAGCTCACTCCCTTACCCTGTAAGAGAAGGAAGACAGCAGCTAGGGCTCTGTTTTGCCCTCTAGGCAGGTACTGTACACCCCTGTCAAATGATCTCACCAGTGCCCGGGGCAGGATGCCCAGAGAGGCGCTGCCAGCTGACTGCATCCGTTTGAAGGCACAAGGAAAGGCAGAATCTAGCTTCACCTTTGTGGTGGGACCCGCAGCAAGTTGACAGGGTCTGAAGGGAGCAGCATCCCTTGCTGAAAAAAGCCATCAGCCTGTTGGCTGAACTCTTTGTCTCCTGGCAAGGCTGGGGGAAGCAGCAGGAGATCGTACCAACTCTGGCAGCAACTGGGAGATCCCACAGACTGGGGTAAAGGAGCGATCTAGTGTTTCTCTTCTGGTGAACCGTGTGGAGCTACAATTACTATTACCCAATTGCCCACTTCACCACCTAACAGAAGGGAGCCATCAGCTTTATGTTGGGCTACCCATGCAGTCACTGTGCCCAGGGATAAACACAATAACCCGGTAACTTCAGGGAGCTAGTGGGACAGAAAAACTATTTGCTACAAGCTGAAAGGAAGCCACTGTACCTTGTACCACTTTTATTCCAGTTGCTCTCTTTGCATGGAGCCATGTTGTTGCACATAAATACTTACCCTTTCCGCTTCCTCTCTCTCCCCCAGTCCTCCATGCATGCATGTTTGCTGTATGTTTTTTTATATGTAGATTTAGTTTAAACTTAAAAGCAGTTACTTACTGGTAATGTAGAACACAAGTTGTCTTCATTTTTACCAATTGAAATGGTTGCTGTTGTAAATGGTCCCATGCTTCGAGGCAGTGCTAAAACCTCTCTCTTTAATATGACATTTATAGCAACTCTGATGAACTCTGGGACCACTGCAACAGTGGCTCTGCTCCGGGACGGTATTGAGCTGGTTGTGGCAAGTGTGGGAGACAGTCGTGCTCTGCTGTGTCGAAAGGGAAAGGCCATGAAACTCACCATTGACCATACTCCAGAAAGAAAGGAGGAGAAGGAAAGGTACCTGTCAGCTGATGATGTGGCTTCCCAGGGAACGGCCTCGGTCAGGATGTGCTTGTGTTCTGCTGCTGGGTTGGGCCTGGAAGAAAGCAGAGAGTTGAACTTAACACCCTGAGACCACCTCTGAGCTGGCAGAAGGTGGCACAGCTCCAGTTAATTCATTTGGTTCCATTTAGAGGACCGGGAATATAGAAAGCCCTGCATGAGCATGAACTGTCTCAGCAGTAAGATCAGCATAGCTAGGACTCAGTACAGAGCCATGACCACATGGTAAAGACTTGTCCAAGACCACCAAGTTAGAGCCATGACCTGAAGAAATGCACTATGGTTCCCAGGTCAGGGCTCAGCCTGCCAAGCCACATCCCTTCTGTGGAGCCCTTCAAACAGCAAAAGCCAACCCTCAGTCTTCCAGCTTAGGTCCTCCATACCCTATTCTGCATCAGACAGAAACTGCAGATAGAGACAGGGCTAATGGTGTGAAGCAGTAACTGATATTCACTTTTTCTTTTGTGCCTCTGGACAGGATTAGGAAGTGCGGTGGCTTCGTTGCCTGGAACAGTCTGGGACAACCTCATGTGAATGGTAGACTTGCAATGACGCGGAGCATAGGAGATTTGGATCTTAAAAACAGTGGTGTGATAGCCCAGCCAGAAACAAAAAGGGTTCAGGTAAAAGAAGGCCTGGTTAATAGGGACAGCAACATTCGGACTAAGGGGCGTCATAGGTATTTGATGCAGGTGGCGGTACCCACATGACATGCGCCCACGTGAAGCCTGATGGCCAAGCGCTGATTTCTATTTGTGGTGAAGTAACTGGAGACCAATTCTAATTAAGTCATTTCAGATTCACACTAACAGGACGGAAAAGAATCTGGTCCTGATACTACATTCAATCAGATCAACTTCTAAATCCCATTTATCACAGTACAATATAGGATGAGGAAAGAAAGGTAAAACGTGACATCCACTACTGAAATACAAAGGCCTTAGTCTGCTTGGGGCTTGTGGTCCAATGAATAATTTTGAGGTTAATGCCGATATAAAACCATCACTGAGAACTAGGTGGGATATGGATGGGCTGTCATCAAAAAAAGTAGACTATGCAGAGGTTTGCACACTTGGGAGGAAGGGAGGAGGACAGGCCAGTTGCATGCATCTTACCAGAGCTCTGCAGTTGTCCCGAAAACAAACTAACCACCCAGAAGGTATTCAGCACAGTTGCCTTCACTTTTGTAGGAAGGCTCTCCTCTCAGCTCCTACTCTGTTTGATACTTTCCCCAATGCACCTCCCAGGGCACGGGGAACTTGCATTCAGTTGGTCCTAATTAAACACCACCCACTAGGCCTGAGGGGTTTAGGGAGATGACCGCTGTGCTATCATGTCTTCCTTGAAATCCTCAGTTTAAGGAAGCATTTTTTTTACGGGGTAATGTATGGATCTGGTCTTTTGGCCTCAGTGTATTCAGAGGCTGCTTCCTAGAACTGGAAGCACCTTAAGAGGCTCTCCTCCAGTACAGGGAACACAGTCTGTGTGGCTGATGGATGTGCTCGAGGATTCAAGGGGCAGCCTTTGGCTAGCTGAGGATTTGGGGGTTCCAGTTAGTCCTTGCACAGAAAGCAGGAGAGCATGCAGCACCCCCAGAAAAAGTGCTTTGCAACAGAGTAAAAAATTAAGGCAGTTACTTTGTCTTGCAGCACTTGCTCCATCATTGTGCATACTGTCTGCCTTTATTGCAGCTGCATCATGCGGACGACAGCTTCCTGGTCCTTACTACAGACGGTATTAACTTCATGGTGAACAGTCAGGAGATCTGCGACTTTTTTTTTGAAGCTGCCCACGTTGTTACTGAGCAGGTAACGTCAGGGCTTCTCTTGGCACCACATGCTTGTTGTTGTTTCTTGTTTGGTTTTTTAAAAAACAAGCATACAACCACACATTCAAGTGAATTGAACTGTGCTGGTTGAGACATTCACTAGTCCCACCAGCTGGTCTTTTCCTTACCCTGAGTCTTGCCACATCCTTGCCGGGCATCATTTCAGTTAACTTGCTTAGCTCACGATCCACTGAACTGTGTGGGACCGTAACTGCAGTTTCTTCCTGTGCTGAATATGTCATCAGCATAGACAGAAATGGCCATTTTCTCACCAGGGTTCTGGATAGTGGCATATCCTGTGGAAAGCTCTGGGGCATACCAGAATGCAGCATCAGGGCTGGGAAGGGGCAAGGAAGTCTTGGGCCTCAGGGCATGCTGTCCCATGTGGAGCCAGACACTTGTCTCCTTTTCCAAGCAAGATGATGATGCTGACAATTTGTTTCTTCTCTCAGGCAATGCAGTTCGGCACTGAAGACAACAGCACAGTTGTCATAGTGCCATTTGGAGCATGGGGAAAGTACAAAAACGGTGAGATCAACTTCTCCTTCAGCCGCAGTTTTGCTTCCAGTGGAAGGTGGGCGTGAAGATCTGCCACAGCTATCTTTTCCTGCCATAATCTGGACACAGCGTGCTACAGGAGAACAAATCCATCTGTTCTTAGGTTGGCTCAGTGTCTTGTCCATCTCTTCTGTTCCCAGTGTTAGAGAAGATGCCACTGTTCCCTCGGTGCGTAATGCCCCGTTGTCACTTATGGCTGATTGCATTTTGCTGTGTTTATTTATTCAAGTCAGCACTGAGGCAGCTATTTCTGTGGGCTTGTAGTCCCAGCGGCTCTGCACATCACTTTTGTTCACGTAGACGAGGCTCTGGGCTTTCACCTAAGGCTGGAGGTGTTGCACAATTGTTTCATACCTACTTGTATTACCTAGGACCCTTAGTTACCTGGCAGCTGTGTAAATCTGAGTCTCTGAGCCACATGCTGGCTTCTTTGTATGCTAATACACGGGGGAACAAACGCACAATGTTCTTAGGTAGACAAGTAGCAGGTTTGTTGTCTTCCTCTGCTGTGCAGCCACTCAAAACTCCCCTGTGCTTCAGGAGAAGCAGGTGAAAAATACGGGGGAAGTTTCAGAAGCGTTTAGGTTCTGATGCCAGTGGCATTTGGTGTAGCTGAACAACTTCCTGAGACAGTGCTGGGCTTTATGTTCTCGCCACCATCATCCGTGATCCTCTAGCTCCAAGGAGACAGAGCAGGCTGGAGCCACGTGCCGTTGGACAGGTGGGAACATTTTTCCATTGGGTCCAAAGCCTGTACAGTCTCTGTGGACCATGCAGCAGCCCCTTGCGCTGTCTTCTCTTTGATGTGCCAGTGCTTGACAGGAGCACAGAGGAGGGAAAAAGCTGCACATTTTTGATATCCAGAGACTCTCATCAACTTGAATTTTTTTTTTTCTTTTAAAAAGAAAACCAGCTAATTTCAAAGAGTTTGCTAATCGAGATTCTTTGGATGTGTAAGACAGGAGAGTTTATTTCTTCATAAATATATGAGGATTTTCCTGCCCTCTGCTGAAGGTTTCTTTTAGTTAGTCATGATGATCTCCTGTGTCTCTTCATGGTATGCAGGGAGCTGTAAAACGCCCAAAGCAAGCAAGCTAGAGAAAGGAGAGAGCATTGTAGTAACGTAAGGTAATTTTTATAAGTTTCAGGTATTGTTCTTAGTAGGTGTCAGATATTCAGACACCAGAAGGTAGTTTTATACTTAAAGGAAGCGTTTCCACTTCCCTTTCCGGAGGGAGTCTGCATCCAGTGAGGCACAGGGGGCCAGAGCTCTGAGCCAGCTCCTATCACTGCTGTGACACAGACTGCAGGTGACGTGTTGGCAGCAGGCAAAGACCTGTCCCAGCGTGCCTCGTTCAGGCCTCCTTCCTCCTCTGCTCCACATCAGGTGTGCCTCCGAGTCACCCTGTCGCAATGAAATACGGGCAGAGAAGTACTGGGCTCTTCTCAGCCTCGCCGCAGTATTTTTCATTGTATGGATGTTTCCAACGGCACCATTGTAAAAACAAAACAAAACAAAAAAAGGAGTGAAAGAGAAGGTGCCTGATACTAAATCACCTTGCAGTAAGGAAAAATATTTCTGAGATGCCTGGCCTGATTCTCATTTTCCACTATGAAGTACGCATCTTCGTTACTTTTAGCCCTTTCCTTTTAGCACAGGGTAACACGTTAGGCAGTCATTCCACGTTTTTCCTTGCCTCTGGTTGAAGGCCTAGCAGCACCCAGCAGAGCACAGTGTTGTACTGACAGCATTAAGTACTAAGTGTTTAGAGAGTATGCTGGTTTTGTCCCATCACTTGGTGTATTACATGGTGTATATAATGTGTATATTCAGTTTGTAAGTACGAAAAGCTTGCGAGTCGATAAATGTAAATCTCTGTTGTATTGGATGCTGTTGCCCAGGCCTCTGTAACGAGCACATCACTGGTTTACAATAGTAATCCCTTCTCTCTCCCCAGATTTTCCCCAGGGTTGGGATTCAGTCTTCACCTGAGGTCAGAATGTTTGCTGGGCGTGGTCCTGGGCTCAGCCTTGCTTACCTGAGGCAGAGGGGCACTTTTAGTTGATACCAGTGAGGGCAGGTTCTCAGTCTGCAGCAAGTTTGAAGATTCCCACAACCCATTTGTGGCAAAAATGACAAAACCCAGCCTCTGAGCACTTGAGGAGAGGTCGCACCTGACAGAGGTTCAGAGAGCTGCTCCGGGAACATGGTTATGGCCAGTTTGCGCTGCAGCGTGACCAGCTGACGGGCCTTTCTCCTGCCAAAGAAGCGACCTGCTAAAACAGCAAGTCCGATAGTTCCTAGCAAAGGGTTAACCACAGCACGCAGCGGTCTTACTGGGAGCACAGTGAAGGATTACAGTCAAGCTCTGGAGAGGGAGTTGCTGTGGGGGTGGCTTTGGTATCAAGTGTCAGGGCTGTGAGCTGTGCTGCAGGGATTTGGACTAGCTCCATGGACGCTGGCCTGTTCCAAATGCTGCTCATTTCTGTTCGGCCAGCTAACCATCTATCCAGACAGAAGATATCAAGGGTGCTGGGGGTGTTCGTGACAAGTACACCCCGATTTTTTTTTTTTTTTTTGAGCAGTACTGGATACTTGCCAAGCTGAAGACATGATATTAAACGCAGGCTGCTAATGAAAAACAGGTGCTCTGAGGAATGACCTGGCAGTTCGAGTAGCTTCTAGAGATTGACCCAGATGTAACACGAAATGACAGTTTTTTTCTTCTCATTGGAGGTTTTGAGGCATTTTTTGTTTTATCCCTATCTGGTTGCCTGATTTCATAGAGAACAAAAGTGATTGGGGGCTTTTATTTCTTCTAACAGAGTGATTATCCTCTCAGAGGAAGGATCCATCCATAATTTCTTTTAAATTTTATAAGGGAAGGGATAAGACAAAGCTTTGCAAAACAGAAGATGATTAGATAAAGATTTATCGGTGGTTGCTATGACTGCCTTTATACAATCACAGAAAAACTTAGATTGGAAAGGACTTCTGGGTGTCATCTAGCCTAGCCTGCTCAAAGCAGGGATAACTCCAGAATTGTGTACTGCAGTGAAGGGATGGCTGCTGACGTGGAAATGCAGTGCCTGAAAATGGATGGGAGAGAGAATTTCGCATGCAGTGTGGTTTACCTGTGGAACCACTGAATTGTATTGAAGTTGAAAACTTACCAGTATTTAACAGGCATTTTGTATAGCTGCCAATACATTTCACAAATAAATTAGCACATATGTAAAACTAAGATACGAGCCATTTTGCTCTAAGCAAAAAAGTGAATCAATAACTGACAGGAGATTACAGAGATCCATTTCTTATGCACAGGTTAATCCCTGCCTGTTCACTCTAGTTTTCTGCACCTTGTGCTGAAGTAAATGAGCCAAAGATTAAGATGAAATGCTTTGCCAAGTGGCCCAGTAGCCTGCCTGTTCCTCCTTCCATTAAGACCCGAGGTACCTTAACACTGAGGGAATCACTAAGGAATCCTCCTTACTTCATGCTGCACATGGCAAGGCTCTGAGTGCCAGCTTGAACAGTGTAGCATTTTGCAGAAGCACTCCATTACCAGGACCATTGGTCTCTGCCTCCTGAACCACAATACTGCTTTTTCCTACCACGATGACAGTGAACTCCCCTAAGACCTAGTGGCAACTGCACCAAACTTTGTTTTTTCTCCAGGAAGTTGGGAAAACCCTGCAATTTCCTGGGTGGTGGATTTTTCATCATTTGACACTTCTTACTGAAGAGTCATTAGAACAAGTCCCTGCCCTTGCACTTCATTTTTGGGGCTGTTGTAACACTGATACTGTGTTGGCAGAGTGAGCTTTGCCAACACGTTCATGTGTTGACTGGGACTTGGGTGTATGGCACTGAATTTGGAGTGCACAGACTGTGAAGTTGGTGGAGTAAAGCCATGTTGGGGAAACTGGAAGTGGTTTGTCACAGTGGTCCCAGGGGATCAAATTAGCAATGCTGCGGTAACGTCCAGCCAGCAAACCTCTTGGCATAGGGTTCTGCAGCAGAGCTGGGTACTGCTCTCCTGTGATGAAGCTAGATTTCTTTTTCCTCTCTAGTCAATAGCCTCCTGCTGCCTATAGCAGCTCTGCAAGCAACAAGCTTTACATGCCGGGGACCAGCAAAATTCTGTTGGCTAGCAGAGAGCGCCCTTCAACTTGAGGACAAAGAGCAAATTGTCCTAAAAACAGCAGTTGCCTGTCAGGGAGGTTTATTATTGAAGGATCAGTAGAGGTATCTTACACTGTGAATGAAATGAAACGGAATCTTAGTTTGCTCTCTAGCTCCCTGTCTTTCCCGTGCATCTGTTGTTTCAATGAAAAGAATGATATTTTTTGTTTATTACAGACTGAACTGAACGTAAAGGGTGACCTACTGAGCAAACCGTAACAAGTGTTGACTTTTTTCCTGCCTTTTAGGGATGGATTCTGAACTCTATTGGATCTGGTAAGAGTATTTTCTTGCCTGAACACTCCCCCTGGAGTAGCGGTACCTCTCACTGGACAGGCACTGCAGGAGGGTGGGCTGTGGGTGCAGAAAGGGGAAAAATTTTGTCCAGCTAGGTACTCGTTTTTACTGTGAGGATGTGGAAGGCACAGGGGGCCTTGTGTCGGGGGAGGATTTACTAGGAGAGGTGTTGAGACTGCAGCTGGAGTTCCAGCTTGGTCACTCCGCCACCTGGAAAAGGGGTTTTGCGCTTTGTAGAGGGAACTCGGTAAAATGTCATTTTCAGCCTTGATTTAGGAGAGCTGGCCTCTCTGGAAGGTGAACATAGTGCAAGAAATTGAAATGGGGATGAGATCCAACAGTTCGTTTAACACAGGGCCCTCAATACAATCAGTCCCTTTTGGCTGAAAACCTCAGGGTTGGCGAATAATCAAGGAGCACAGTTTGTGGTTGAGAACGGGAGTGTGGAGAGAAATCAGCAATATTACTGCTTTTTACATACTCGGGGGAAATGAAACTTGTGAGGAGCTTAGACTCACTGCAGGATTTCCGCTGACTTCCGCAGGATCAGGTTATCAGATCGCCTTTTCTGTCTCAGCAGGCGGATGTGCTGTGGTCAAAGGCATTGGG